CCTGCCTTGGGAAGACCGATTCTAGTTTCCAGGCCTGCCTTAAGGAGGGACTTATGAGCCGGGTGCTGTAGGCAGAAACATGTATATTACAGGAGTGCTTGTTGGACTCCCCAAAAGTGAGCATCCAAGTTCTGGGGCTGCTCAGGAAACAAGAGGTTCAGGAGAGATGTGAGTGTTTGTTTACTCTCAGCCTCTTATAAGTCAGCATCGCCTATGGCAGGCAATCAGAAGGATGCTCTCTCTGCCAAGAAGGCCCTGAGGACAGACAAACAATTCCCAGGGCCACTTATCCTGCAAAAGAAGGGGTGGGGGTTCTCCAGAGAGCAGCACTTCTCCTCATCGCTTTGAGAAACGACGGCTCTGCTGAATGTGGTGAGATAAATCCTGATGTGAGATGCCATCGTGACCACCGCCCTGGAAGTTGCTGTCCCCTAGAGCGTGGAAGCCGATGTTCACAGGAAGCCACCGCCTTCCTTGTCTGGTCTCCACACCCACCCGGAACTGGATGGGCTTTTGCCGAGGGATGGAAGCCATCCCGGTCTTGCAGTGGGCACACAGCCCTCATGCGAATTTTGCTTTTACCCTGATGTCTCCCGAAAGGGAAGGGAGGTGCCTCTTCTGACTGAGCTGCTGCTCCGGCCCAGGATCTGTACCTGTTTTTCTCTCAGCTCCCGAGATAATGACTTGCCTTCTGCACCTGTCTTTCTTCCTCCCTCCCAAGGGGAAAGCTGTGCCTCAAGGTGAATCAGTATGGCGAGGCCAGCTTGTAGAACTTAGATCACCTGTTGGAAGTCTGTGTGCAAGCAGCGAACAGCATCACATGGACTTAACAGCCCAGAGACTGGGGGAAGACCTGGAGGGGGCACCTGACTTCTTGTTGCTGCCCTGCAGTGAGCTCCTCCCCTAAAGCCAGAGCAGGTTGAGACCACCACAGACTCAGGGAGTGGAACAGCTGAAAGGTCCTCTCGGTCCCTTCTGACTCGGGCTCTCTTCTGTGACCCCCAGAACAGGCGATCTTCTGCCCTTTGGTTTGGACATGGCCCCCCATGAGCATGTCATCATCCTATAGCTGTGACCACTAGCCAGTTCTTTGTTTTGTTAGAATTGTGTTCTGTGTCTTCTACTGTTGTCTCCCTGGACTGTAGTTCCCAGAAGGAAGGGGCCCATGGCTGTCTTCATGAGCTGTCCCCAGGTGACCAGAATAGTGCCAGCACCCAGCTGACACACAGTACATCTTTGTTGAATGGAGGGGATGAGTGAGTGGGTGGTCCTGATTGAGCCTCAGGTTACACAGAGCCACCACAGCTGTCTATGTAGGCTGCTCCTCATCAGGTACTAGAAGTCTCCCGTCCCCTCGTCACCCTCCAGCTGAGCCTGCCCAGGCCCAGCAGTCCTCATGTGACATGATGTCAGGCCTCACCAGCTTCTCACCTCTGCGTCCTCCCTGGCTCCTCACCCCTTGGAGTGTGACTTCCCGTGTGGAACGCAGGTAGATGTGATAGGGCAGAGAATTAGTAGGACCAGCCTTGCCCTCGAGGGACTGCTAGCTGTGCTCAGGGTCGGACCCTGACACATCTGGCAGAGAAGCCCAGGATGTCTGGGGATCGCTTAGTGCTCTGTCCCATCTCCATGCCCCTCTGTGCCTCCTGCGCAGCCTCCAAGCCAGGCATGAGCCGGTGTGTGGGCGTCTGAGCGCCAGGCACCAGTGTGCACTCAGAGCCACACTCCCTGCTGCGCCTTGTGGTGGCGTCTGTCGCTCACGGTCTGTCACCCTCATTTCACCTTGATTTATGAGCAGACCTGATGAGTTTTTGGAACAGCTGCCTCCCAGGTTTGGGGCGATCAATCTAGGAGGTAGCTGTTGAGCCCTGCTCCTCCAACAGCCGGGGCGGGGGGAAGATGACAGGGAAAGGGATAAGGTGCCAGTGGCAGTGGGGTTAGACCTGTGCCCCTCATCTCAGGAGCCCTGCAGGTCCACAGCTCCCGCCCTCTCACTTCCTTTCTGTTCCTTTTCTCTGTCCATCCAGCAGAATCTGGGGTAAGGGTGTACAGGTTTCCTTGGAACTTGCCTGTTTGGAGGCCAGGCAAGAATACCTCCCTTCCCTCTCCACACCCTGGGGACAGCCAGTGCTGCCTGCCATGTGCCTCTGCTCGGGTTGGCTGGGGTCACCCTCAGGCCTCACCAGCCTTTCTGGCCGACACAGAGCAGATGTTCTGACCTTGTTCTTCTAGACCTGCCCTCCCTGATGAGCCTGTCCCCTCCAGGTCCTTATCCCAGAGCCGCCAGTCCATGAAGTGGTCGTTTTTCAGTGCATCTTCTTTTCACTCCTGGATGGCTGTGGGCATCAAGCCCTCAAGGGCAGATTTGGTTTTTGGAAATAGACTTTTTGATGAGAATTGAGAGAACCCATTGGGAGCCTAATCTAGGTAGTAGCATTAATCAAAAGATTGTCAGATACGGTTTTTTTTAGAGTCTCCTTGTGTAGCCCTGGCTGGCCTCAAAGTTGTGATCTTCCTGCCCGAGTGCTGCGATTACAGGTATGCCACCACTCGAAGCTGAAATGCATTTTATCACCCATTTTATCACCATAGGATGTAGGCCATCCTGAAAGTTCTAGAAGATATGCCACATCATCATTGACATAAAGATGTAGCCCCCCACGGCAGCTACTTTGGAGATCCCTCCTGTTCGGGGGGGGGCGATGCATAGGCTGTGTGCTTTATAAAGACAGTTTCATTGCTCTGGAAGCTTACGTCATAACTTCATAAAGAACACCCAGTCAGGGCTGTCCAGAAAGCTTCCCTGAATAAGCAAGCCAGTTTCTGCCCATATCTCCTCCAACTTCTTGGAGATTTAGGGTTGAGGAGGAAGGTAGACAGAGAAGCACTAGCTGGCAGCCTGGCTGAAAGCAGTGATGGAGATGTGTGCATCTAGACAGCCAGCTCCTCCCTGCCTTCTTGCCTGCTCACAGGACCCAGAGTCCAAGGCTGAGGTCAAGCAGCAGAGAGACAGCTCGAGGATTTCTCCACTGGCCTCTTCCCAAATCCATGTCAGCTTTGCCAAGGTCCTGGAGCAGGGCCATGTGTGGTAGAGGCAGAGCAGCATGTGCATCTTACCTGGCAGCAGCTGCCCCCTTGGCCTGGGCTGAGTGCCCTGCCTGTAGTGGCACAACTGCCTGCTTCAGCCTCCTAGATAACTGTCTACCAGGTAGCCCTACCCCGATCCATTACCTGTCCCTGCTCAGTGGCTTTGTAACCCTGGCACCCAAGACTCCCCTCCCCACTAGCCTTTGCCCATTCTCCCACATCTTGCAGGCCAGGTCTTCCTCACAGACCTCTGCCAAGCACAATCCTCCTGCAGCCTCCCCAGGAATCACTGGGATGAGCCACATTCCCCAGGGCCTAGACTAAGACACAAGGAACTGGGTCGCTGCTTCCCCTTGACTAGCCAGGACTGGGAAGATTTGTGACGCCCTGGAGCAACAGGAGTAGTGGGATGGAGCCAGCTGTGAAGGGTGGAAACAAATCATCTTTTTTATTGGCAATTTTCACAGGGCTGTTCCCTCACTCCCTTCCTATCCCCGACAGTGTCATGCAGTTCTGATTAAAAGTAATAGATGATTCTGCCCTCCTCTCCATTGTCATTGTGGGAAGACATCAGCCTGGCTTCCTGTGCGTCCCGGCAGAATGACCTCTCCCTGCCATGTTGGGTCCTGAAGGAGACAGAGGAGGTCCCCAGCCTTCTTCCCCAGGAAGAGCCCTGAGCCTCTGCTGGGACTGGCAGGAGCTGCCTGCTGGGCTCTGCTGGCGCACTGTTCTTCACGCTCGCTGCAGTGCCCACCAAGAAGTGTCACATCTTCCCGTGGCTTTGGCTCGGGGACCAGGGCACAGGCTGGAGGGGCTGCAAGATCTGTTCTGAACAGAGACAGCAGGGGTTTGTAATCTCCACAATGGAGATGGGGATACTGATGGTCTCTGTGTGTGCTGAGTCCCTAACAGTGACAGTTCTGGGTAAGCAGGGTAGCAGATACAGAGGCCAGAGAGCCACAGAAGGATCTAGAAGTACCATCTTCTCCGACTGCCAGGGATTCTTATGCATAGGTTGCTCAGCTCTTCCTGAACACCGCTGTGTGCAGGCAGCCTGCTGTTTCACTCAGCTACCTTCAGAGAGCACTTCTGGAGGACAGGCTGGCGGGCCAGTGTCCTGATGGTGGGCCCAAGAGGAAGGCCGTTCTACAAGCCAGCCCCGTCTCCATCCACAGTGGAAGCCTGACTGCTCTGAGTAATGTCCCAGGCCGTCTTCTGCTTCTGCAGCATATCCCCCGTCCCCCAACTTCCACCAGGCTCAGGAGAACAGAGCCAGGTGCCATTGGTCTCCAGCCTTACTGGCAGCAGTTCAGCACTCCACAGTCCTCAGCACTTCCCCTCCATGCCATTTCTTCCCTGGAGTGGCCAGTGGCCACTTCCTGCCTGCTCTAGACCTGGGCATCCACCTGTGCACAGCATTCCTGCTTTTTTACCCTCAGCAAATCTGGCAGATGCTCTCGGCCCAGGAGGACACCTTCTTCCAAATGCTCTGTGCCCTTCTGCCTTCCGCACCCCACCAGCACCCGGACAGAAATCTTTTAAACCAAGGGAGGAAGGAGGAGCATTCATGCAGACCCAGGAGCTGGCAGAGAGCCCTCGAGAGGGCCCTTGGCACTGGGGGTAGGGAGCTGGTAGTGCTGGCTAGGGCTGGTTCACTGTGCTGATCACCTCCCTGCTCTGGAACATGCCCAAACTCCCCCTCCACTGGAGAAGGAAGGAAGGAGAACAGGACAGGGAGAGGGATGCATGGAACATTAAGTTCAACCACTGTTGACCTGCCCAAGAACATGGATTTGGGATTGCATGAAACTACATTTAAAGATTCTTTCTTGCTGCCCCCCACCCCCCAGCAAAACTGCTTGGGGCAGGGTGATTCCATCCACACTGGCTGACTGCCCTATCTTGTTTTCCAGCTTTCACCATCATGATCGTCCTGGCCCTGGTCCGAATCGGGAAGGGCCAAGGGGAGGGGCACCCGCCCCTGGCCGACTTCTCAGGGGTCCGGAACCTGTTTGGGGTGTGCGTGTACTCCTTCATGTGCCAGCACTCCCTGCCGTCCCTCATCACCCCTGTGTCCTCCAAGCGCCACCTCACACACCTGGTGTTCCTGGACTACGTGCTGATCCTGGCCTTCTATGGCCTCCTGTCCTTCACTGCCATCTTCTGCTTCCGTGGTGACAGCCTCATGGACATGTACACACTCAACTTTGCTCGCTGTGATGTCGTAGGCCTGGCTGCCATCCGCTTCTTCCTGGGCCTCTTCCCTGTCTTCACCATCAGCACCAACTTCCCCATCATTGCCGTGACTCTACGCAACAACTGGAAGACACTCTTCCACCGAGAGGGCGGCACGTACCCGTGGGTGGTGGACCGCGTGGTGTTCCCCACCATCACCCTGGTGCCCCCTGTGCTGGTGGCCTTCTGCACCCATGACCTGGAGTCCCTGGTGGGCATCACAGGGGCCTATGCGGGTACTGGCATCCAGTACGTTATCCCTGCCTTCCTGGTGTACCTCTGCCGCAAGGACACTCAGCTGGCCTTCGGCTACGGGACTGTCAACAAGCACAGGTCCCCATTCCGCCACACATTCTGGGTGGGCTTCGTGCTCCTCTGGGCCTTCTCCTGCTTCATTTTCGTCACAGCCAACATTGTCCTCAGCGAGACCAAGCTCTGATGGCAGGACATTCCTGGTGACAAGAGGGCTGGGGGCAAGATTTAGTTGCCACCAGGCCTTCGTGGGCAGGCAAGGCAGGGGCTCCCAAGGGGACCTCCTCAGCTGGGGGTCTCTGCCAGGATCTGCCTGATCTGCACCTGGCGTTGCCCACTGGGGCAGCATGTGGCTGCTCCCAGGTTCTAGAAGGTACCCCTCTGTTTTACACTCCACCCCTACCCCTGGAGGTGGGCTCCTCCCTCTGGGGTGGAAGAGGCAGTGCTGGCACTGCCACTATTTATACCAGACCCTGTGTCCCTCCTCCTCCCTCCTCAGCCCCTCCTTCGTCCTTGCCTGTCCACTAGCAACTGCTGCCACTTCAGGGGCCGATCCCAGGCCATAGCCACCCTAACTCAGCCTGCCCGTGACAGGCAAGGCCCACCTTCCTGCTACACCTGAGAGTTGCAAAGTGGCACTCCTAGGGGTAAGCCTGGCTAGCCCCAGTGACAAGAACAGAAAGTGTTAGTTGGCATCAGGGTCCCCAGTCCAGAGCTGTGAGGACCCTCGCTGTGGGTGCCAGCTCTGGGCGGCAGGAAGATGGAACAGGCCTTCCGCAGGGCACACAGCAGCCTGTAAGCTGGGTTTGAAGCTGGGGGAGGTCCGGCCTCCTGAGCATCAGCCCAGCTCACCACGATGCTCTGCTCCAACACTAAGGCGGCCCCCTTGGAGTCTGGCCGTGAGTGCTCGGCAGTCACTCCCTCTGTATTCCTGGGTGCCATAGGCTGGATAGAGCACCTGCCACCATTTCTGTGGCAGGAGGCCAGGTTCCCAGTCACCTCTTGCTCTCCATCACACATACTCCTGCTGGGCTGGCCACTTTGGAAACAGGTGACTCCAGTGAACTGCATTTTCCATGTGCCTTCTGCTTCAGGCCTGGGGGTCTTTCCTGACCCTGGCTTCCCCCGACACTGGGCCTGGTCGCATCCATCCTGGAGCCCAGAGCATCTTGCCTCTGGAGGATCTGGGGGCTCAAGTTCCTGCCCCTCCCTCTTGATTTCAGTGCCTTGCCCAGCCCTGTGTGGGAGCCTTCCCCGCCTCCTCCCTTCTGTGTCTCACCATCTTTAAAGCTTGGATAGTGGGATGATGCCAGGTGTCCTGGGGCCCAGGGCAGGAGTTGCAGGGAATGGGCTTCTGCAGGTAGCACCCCTCCACCTCTGACTTGGCACCCCTGTCTCTGAGAGTCCTAGGTCATAACTGGCCTCAGTCTGCTTTCTCACCGCTGTTGCCTGCCTGCAGTTCTCACAGCTTTCCCCACATGTCATCAGCTTCCATCCATGTGAAAAGAAACACTCCTTCCCCATCTGCCATAGTGGCACCTTCCCAGGAGGCCTTGCCCCGGATTGTACCAAGAGGCCAGCACCATGGTGGGGAAGCCAGGAATGACAAAGACCTGCTAGTCGCCGTGTGCTTGGGCTTTCCCTGAAGCTGCCCAGCTATTTTCTGAGAACTCAGTTAAAACATCTGTACTTACCCTTCTCCAATTACATTCCCTCTTGCTTAAGGACAAAGCAAATTAAATCATCCTGCTGCCTCAGGCTCCAAACCAAATTTTGGGCGCAAATTTATTGGCATCATAAAGCCCAGGTTGATTTATGTGACAATCTGGAGCCACACACGGTAGAGTCTGGTAGCTGTGTTCCCCTCCACCTCCAAGCCAGGGCAGCCCTAGCCCTGGAGGCAGTTGGCCCAAGGTGACTGCATGGCTGATGCCAAGCTGGGGCCCTTCCCACTACCACTGTCTGGTTTCTTTGCTCCTCTATCTCCACCTGCTGTCTGTTCTGCTAGAGGTCACCTTTTTCTACACCACCAGGCCTCTGCCGCTGACAGCCAGGCAGGCTGGAGGAAATAGAAGACCCTAATAGCTAGATATTAGGGTGATGCTCACTATGTACATTAGACCTAGTCAGCTACAAGGTTTTCTGTCAACTCTGTGAGGTGGGCAAGTTAGGTCATGATTTCCATTTCCAGAGGGGCCTGGGGATCAGTGATGGGGAGGAACCAGAGGATGCCAGCCCAGCCTGGCCCCGGGTACAGGTGTCACTGTGGAAAAGACATTAAACCCAGCATCCTCCAGTGATGTCATCCACCTGGACCAGTCCCAAGGGCCGGCAAGGTCAAGGTGGGCGTAATGTTCTTCATTTCACTCCCTGCCAAAGCACCAAGCCCACCTGAGCACTGGAACCTGGTGCCAGCAGCCCTAGGTGTTCTTCACCCAAGGCTAGAGAGGTGGCAGAGGCCTGGAGTTAGGGCAGGTGGCAGGTGACAGGCTGGGAGGCACTGCTGAGTGTTGGAAGGTGTTCGTGGGCACAGGGCCAGGCCCGGGGCCACACAGCTGTGCTCCCCACACAGGTCAGGAGCAGCCTCAGCAACAGGCTGATGTCAGAGCTGCTCTGCTGCCCAGGGGAAGTGACTGGCAGTGCCAGGCCTGGGAGAGTAGAAGGCTGAGACTTCAGCCTGCCCAGAATCAGAGTCCCAAACAAGGCTCACTCCCATCAAGGGCCACAGAAAAGCTGGCTCTTAGAGACCAGATTCAGGCTGCAGGAGAGCCCTGCCGTCTCCCCCCTTGAGCCTGGGGCCTGCAGTGTCAACTGCACACTGAAGAAGTAGCCTGTAAGGAGGGCATTCTGTGTGCCGGGCACAGCCTGCACAAGCCTCCAGGGTCTCTTCTTCCTTTGTGAAGTGGGGTAACAGCACCTATATGGCTGGCCATCATGGGAATTAAAGGAGTGAGCTTAGTGCCTGGCATAGAAGTGCTCAATAAAGCTATTTACTGATGCTTATTTCCCTTGTCACTCGCCAACCATAACTTTGCTTGTAGCCCAAGACCTAGAACTCACTCAAGACTCCAGACACCTAAGTGGTTTCATAGTCTTCTAATGAGAGGAGGATTGTAGCCACTGCTTACTGCAATTCACAAGCAGGAAACTGATCAGAATTCTTCAGGGTCTAGACAGCTTTTGGGGGAGATGGGTTGGCTCTAGTTCCCCAACCCCCTGCAAACTTGGAGAGCCCTCCCCTTTCAAAGAACAAGGCAGAGCCAGGCATTGTGGTGCACACCTATAATCCCAGCTACGCAGGAGACTGAAGCAGAATGATCGAAAGCTCAACACCAGCCCAGGGAACTTAGTGAGGCCCTATCTCAAAATTACAAAGGGCTGGGGATGTAGCAGTCAGTGGTAGAGTGCCCCTGTGTTCGATCCCCAATATCGGGGGGAGGGGAACAGGCCAAAGCAGGAGAGGCTGGGTCCTGGTAGAGGACATCATACTGGTCCTTTTCTGAACCTCTGCCCTCTTCCCCCCAACCTAGCTCCCTGGGAAAAGCTGGAGTGGATGCAAGATTTTGGCTAAAGACAGATGAGAGAAAACAGCTAGGGAAGTAGCAGCAGGGAACCTGCTAAGACTATAAGATGATCCTACTGCCAGGGTAGTGACAGGGTCTCTCCCAACGTCCCACCAAAATAAACAATAGCCCTGGGGTGTCCCGTCCTTCAGGCCCTTCTTTAGGATGCTGTCACATCCATGGCATCACTTCCTTCTCCCCTGCTAGGCTCTCTGACTCCCTGGGAGATTCAGGATAGCCAGGGTGCTGTCCCTCTGGGAAGGAAGCCAGGACGCTCCCCATCTCCAAACCACGTCAGTGTCCTTCTTGTCTCTCCTTTGCCCAGGCTCACCCCTCCCATCTATTCCTAGAGAAGGAACACGGCAGCCAGAGCCTGGCCCAGTGAGCAGAAGCTGCCCCTCCTTAAAGCCAGCAGTAGGCTCAGCTCCACATTTGGCTCTTAATTAGCTTTCCAGTTCTTGGTTATTAATAATCTTGGGCAGCAAGCGGAGCAGCCTAGACCTCATGACTCCTCCCACCCTCACCTGCTTCAGCTTTCACCCCAGAGCTACACTGCAAACCTGGCTCAGGGAGGATAAGGGGGCAGGTCCAGGGCCTAGTGGCTAGCGCTTAACTCTATCACATTGTGACTGTGCCCAAGGTCAAGCTCCCTTCCAGAGCCCTGGCCACAGCACGCACCTAGATTCACACTCCCCACCTGTTGTTGAGCCTCTGATCCTGGACCTTGCTCCAGCCAAGAAAATTCATATGGCAGAGGTGAACTTGACCATAATGGATGGGGGCGGGGGCTGTCACCTGTTCTTGGGGCTATCAGGCTCACCATGAATGGAGGTATAGCCCATCCTACCATTTCATCCCTAAACCAATACACAAAGGTCCAGTTCTCATGACTTTCACCCAAGCAGTGGGGTCTCTGGGAAATGAAAAGTATCCCTAGCTTCTTGGGCACCAGCAAGGAGCTGTGGGAGAGGGCACTGGCCAGAGACTCCAGTGGTCTTTGCATTCGGCCCTTCCTCCTCTCGACTATGTCCATGGAATTAATATCTGCCCAGCTTCCCACAACCTCAGAGGATGGCCAGGCCTCCACCTTACACCCTCAGCAGCTGGGGAAGGCTCTGACATTTGACAGTGCTCCTGTGTGCGTGGACTGGATGGCCACATGAATGCCTTTTCACTTCACAGTTACTGTGGGGGACAGATGTAGTTGCACATGTGAAAACATTTCATACTCTAAGCAAGAATTGTCTTTCGAGCTGGTGCAGGGCCAGTGACATGTAACAGCAAAAGGAGATTGGCCGGGAGCCCCAGAGGGAAGTTAGAGGGTTGGAATGATGGGTGGATTCTCCCACCTGAGCCTCACCTGATCCTAATGGTGCTTGGCAAAGATCCAGAGCCCACTGGGCAAATGCAGCCAGTCAGGGCACAGGCCAGTCCAGCAGGCTCCCCACAGCAGACCTTCCACAGCCTTTCCCACCTCGACAGTGTCAGGCTCCCAAGGGGTCCTTGGCAGGGAGTGACAGCCACAGCCCCGGCACATGTGGCTTCTGCTGCCTGGAGCCCCTTCCTCAGCTTCACCTACTCCCCACATCCCTCCCTCACACTCCTGAGACTGTCTCCCAGAGGAAGCTGCCCAGCTACCCCAGAGAGTCAGCCCACCTAGGATACTCCCATGATGCTCCTGTTGCCTACAGGCTATGGTGCCCCCTCCGGGATGCAGAATGAGGCAGCCAGGACCAGTGAATTGGAAAAGGCCAGTTTAATGTCCCAGAGGAAACACCACCTAGATGGAGCAAGAAGCAGGATGGCCCTGTCCCAGCCCCAAGTTCCAGCCTCCACGCCCCCAACCCAAGGCCACAGCAGCCATGACCAGGGATTGGCTAATATCAGGGCAGGGTCACCCTCTGGGGTCTTACTCCTTCTGCTCCCGTGACTCAGGCTGGGTGGGCAGGACTTCGTGTGATTATGGAGGCAGCAACAGCCCAGCCCACTCTAGGACCTGAGCCTGCTGAGGTCACAGAGGTGGCTGTGGAAGCCATCGCCTGCCAATCGGGTCCCGTGGCCAGGATTTCACAGTCGAAGCAAAGAAAAAAAGACCCATCTTGCCTGCCCCCTACCCTTGGCAGTGCCAGGCAGAGAATCCAGAGCAGCAGGAACGGAGCACCTGGCGCCTCACACTTCTGACTCCAGGCTGGAGATCCGCCTCCAGGTGCAAGGTCCCAGAAAGCCTTGGGTCCCACAGGCTCCCCTGCTGACCTCTTCCAACACCCCACCGCCCCTGTAGCCTGTGCTCAGCCCCATGGTCCTGCCCCTGTGCGCTGGAGGGCCCCAGGCCTCAGTGAGCCAGGGACTTTGACTGGCACAGGGTGGGAGGTGAGGGCAGACGGCCCCCCAGCAAAAAGGTAGGTGGGCCTGGGTGTGCAGGCAGATGTGCTGCCTAGGCTGCCAGGCCCGGGCCCCGGCGGGCACGCCCTCCCAGCAGGCCTCCCGGTGGGACAAGAGCCGCCTGGACTGTGCCTGTGCCACGAGTCTGCAGGCCGGCCGGGCGTCTGGACAGGCGCAGGCGTGGCCGGTACACCCGGCGGGCAGCGAGCCAGAGTGAGCAAACGCATCGGCCACTGAGCTGGGCAGGGAAGCGTGGCGCGGGCGCGGACCCTGGGCCCAGGCCGCGCGCAACAGAGCCTCCCGCCGGGCCAGCTGCTCCGGCCCCAGCAGCGGCAGGTTGTCCGGCTCCGGCTCCTCGGGGAAGAGCGGGAGGAAGGGGCGCCTGGCTCTGTCGGCTCGAGGGAAGGAGCTGTAGTGACCGGGTGTGGGCGACAGGGGGCGCTCTGGGAGCGCGCGCCGCTCGGAGACCGAGAGGTGCCGCCCCGGGGGCACAGCCCGCACGGGCCACCACGCCTCCCAAGGGGGCCGCCCCCACACCCGGGAGACATCGGGCAGCGGCGTCCTGGGCGTCGGGGAGCGGGCCGGGGGCTCCGGGGCCCTGCACACCAGCGTGGCGCGGGCCCCGGACGACAGCCCCCAGCTTTGGGGGCTGGGCTCGGGCGGCGGGCCGGGGGTGGGCGGGCGCGTGTCCGAGCCGGCACAGGCGGGCGGGGGCGCGCGGCGGATGCTGCCCCAGCTCTCGATGGTGCGCGTGGCGCGGTCCAGGGAGTCGGTCACGCCCGCCGTGGTCACCATGTCACGCGCCGCCTGCAGCATCTTGAGCACGCTGGCCTGGGCCGAGCCGGCAGTGAGGTCGGGGCTGGGCTGCCGCGGGGGGCTGGCGAGGCTCTGCACCCCGCCGAAGCAGCTGTAGATGCCCTGGGTGGGAGAGGGAGAGGGAGAGGGGCCGTGAGCGGCCCGCCCTGTCCAAAACCTCAGCCTTCTAAGTCCTAGAAGCAACTCCTGGTGAGAAGTCCTAGGTGCCAGGCACCGGGCTGCTTTGCAGACGAAGGAGGTATCTGAGCCTCTGCAGGCTGACGAACTCCTAATCAGAGTGAGGACCCCAACTCCAGTCATGCCACCCTCCGGACCTCAGTCTGTATGTGGCAAATGGGACTGTGGCCAGCTCTGCCCGGCCTGGGCTCTGGGGCACTGGTGGTCACCTACCCTGCTGAGAGCCAGCAGAAAGTCCAACTGGGACGTGCTGTGTACCGAGTGGCGCAGCTTCCAGTAGACCACGTGCTCCCAGGCGAAGACCAGCAGGGCCAACCCCATGGCCACCAGCAGCATGTAGAAGACCCCGGCCATGTTGTCAATGTCCAACTTGCTGCTCATCACCTCATTCTTCTCGTTCTGGCAGATCCCCGAGAGCCACACCGTCTCCAGTTTCTGGGTCTCTCCTGGGGCAGGGGGACATATCTGCTCAGGAGACCCCATAACAATGCCCACAATCCTGGACGGAGGAGGGGTCTGCAGCCAGTGTGCCACCTCCTTGTTTCTCAAGTGGGACCACCCAGGGTCGCAGCCCAGTAGAGCCAGGATGGAAGGGGGCAGACAACAAGCAAGAAGAAAGGAAAAGGACAGGTGTGGCGATGCGCACCTGTAATCCCGGCACTCTACGCGGCTGAGGCAGGAGGACTGCAAACTGAAGCCCAATTTAGCAACTTAGTGATACCCTGTCTTTAAGAGATATTTAAAAACGGGTTGGGGATGTTGCCCAGTTCAAAGGCCCTTATTCAATGCTCTGTACTGCCAAAAAGGAAGGGGTGGAGAAGGGGAAGGAGGAGGAAGGACAGGGAGGAGGAGGAGGAGGAAGAGAAAGAAAAGCAAAAAGGAGAATGGGGAGTGGGATGGAGTAGGGTATGCCAGCCTCTGGGTCCTCTGCCTGCCTGCCCGCCCCCAGCGAAGTGCACCTGTGTGCCCAGTAAAGGCTTGATGACTGGGTAAATTTCAGCATCCATTCATTTATTCATTCACTTACTGACCATCTACATGCCACGAATGGAGCTGGGCCACAGA